ATTAGTTATAAATTCATTGAATGACAGTACATGTTGATTTTCTTTGCAAAATTATTTGTTACACATTAGCATGTATAATACATGCTTTTGGCAAACAGTGCAAGTCACATGTTAGAAAACCTTATTGTAAACCTTCCTGAAATGTGATACACTGTACAAGGCTGCTTTTCATTTCAGGGCCTTGGACTTGTGTGGTTGAGGTGTAGCTCTCTCCTTGTGGTTAAGCTGTACTCAAAAACCACCCTGCTGCTGTGATGGAGGACTTTGGTTTTCTTGGATAACAGCTATCCTATTTTCTCTAATTGCGTAATTAGGTATTTTAGATACAACTCAATGGCTCCTTCACTTCCACGCAGCTGCATGTGGGGAGCGAACTGCTTAGTGTTCCTCGCCTTTAAACAATTTTAATTTCTTCCGTTTTCCCCACTTTTCTGAATCTAATGCTTGAGAGAAAATTGACTTTACAGCAAGGTTTTTTTTTTCTTCGCTCTGAAGTGCGCGTTGAGGAAAAGGAGCTTATTCTTGATCCAGGATGACTGCGTTCCTTACATATTGCCAGGAAATCGCTCTCTAAACCCTCTCTCTCAGGATTGCCGACAGATAGTCTACCTTACGAGCTCCCTGTAACCCAGAAGCCGCTCTCAGAATAAATGGTGTGATGAGGACTCCAGGACCATTGCTGTGACTTTAATTGCCTAATGCTGGCCCCCTTACATTTCCTTGGATGTGTGTTAATGGAAGCTCACATCTATTGTAAATGTTAATTAGTAGGTGACAGATGACACCCATCGTAAATGAAAAAAAATCAAATTTGCATAATTTGCCATAATTTGCAAGGAAGGCAACAATAAGACAAAGTTTGTGATTATCGAATCATAAACTGCTTGAATGTTGATTTGAATTTCATCTTGATTGATCTGTAAGGCCTCTGAAGAGTTGAGCACAGCTGAGCTTTCAAAGAAGAGGTGATCATTCCAGAGACTCTCAATTTTAAAGAGCCCCAACTTGCGCATTAACCAAGCATTTGAATGAGCCATTCTCCTTTAGCCTAGCTAGTTTTGAAACACCTTTTGTGGCATTGGCTATTTTTTAATTCAGGTTTGGTAAGACTTACATATTCGAGTTGATAAACTTTGATTGATCTTGTGGGTTTAAAATGTGAAAAGAATACATAAGTGTTGTGGTGTACTGTGCACAAATAATCAGCTTCTAAGTGCTATTATAGTATCTGGTGAAGTTCTGGCATCATGGCAGAGAAATGGTATTTTTAATCTTCATTTTGCATCTTCCAACTATCACAAAGGTGACAAGCGCAGGACATTGAATTTTGTAAGGCTTGTGTGATCTTTACATGGCATTTTATTAGTGAAAACACACATAAGGATAACAGCATACAAAAAAAAGACACTCATAGATTTAAAGGAAAAATAAAAAATACAAAATAGCCTTCCACTGCACTGAACAGTCACATCTCCTCTTTCATGTGCAGCTCTGAGAGACTGCAGTATGGATGTCTCAAGGAGCTTTGCTTTGCATCTGTCGTCTGACGGTTCACCGTGCCTCTTGATGGAATTTTATGTACAACAGGTGGAACAAGACATAACTGGGTTTCTTGCTTTTACTTTGTGGCAAGATGGAGCGTAAGACAACTGTATTGCTTTATCATTTTGCAAGGATTCATTTTATATAATTCAACGACTTTATTGCAGTTTTTCTGAATTGCTAAAACACTAAACCCCATTCTCTGAACCAAATGCTCAGTGGCCTGAACCCATTTATTGAATCGATCAGTCTTGGCAAAACCATAAACAATTTTAACCTAGTTAGACACAATTTGCAGATCTCATTTACTCTTTTTCCAAAACTCTAAACACATCCTCACTCACTAAAACACATTTTGCACTGTGACGCACTTGTGATGCATAATGGTAACCCCAGGTGGCAGAAGGTAAACACAATTACAGCACAGATGCCATAGCTTACACACAACGACTCAAAATTGTTCACACTTGTTGCTAATGATGAGATGAAACCAATATAAGCCAGTTCAGAGTGCACAGGCAGCATGGGTGAGTTGAAGGTTGATACCAATAATGGATGGAAACAATCTGAGAGGCAGAGGAAGAAGAGCAAGACCAAGGCCAGTGTTTTCAGATGAAATTTGAGCAACTGTGATAGGCCAACTACACACTGATGTCATAAATGGAAAACGCCACTAGCTTGTGTCTTTTGCATTTTCAGTGTGCAGGGCACGGCAGTCTACTGTAAAAAATTGTCATAGTACTTGCACGTACATGTAATTTCAAATATACAGGTTATGTTTGCATATACAGTATAAAACACAAATACAAGGGGGGAATTTTTTTTTTCAGTAACAGACAGAACAGTAACAGACAACACATGCTGTATATACTGTAATAGAAGATAACAATAGGCTTGTTACTGTGAACTAAAGGGAAAAATTAGGGTGCATCCTGTCTCCTGGGTCTGGCTACAGCACCTCATTGACATCACAAGCAATGTTCTCTCTGGCCAGACAGCGGGGGAAGTGCTGTCTGGAATGATGTATCCAGCCCTGGCATGCTCCCGCATCAATGTCACCACAGGCCTCCTCCATCGCCTGGAGAAGGGATATGCATTGGTGGGGTCGGCAATCATAGACCTTCCAAGGCCATGCTGAAAAGAACTCTTCAATTGGATTGAGGAATGGAGAGTATGGTGGCAGGTGAAGTACCAAAAATCGTGGGCGGTCAATGGACCAGTTGCGTACCAGAGCAGCCCGGTGACAACTTACATTGTCCCAGATGATAACAAACCTGAACTGCTCTGGTCCATTCCCCTGGTAACTGGGAATAAATATGTTGTGTAGGGTGTCGAGGAAGGTGATGATGTGGGCAGCGTTGTGGGGACCAAGAGTGGCATGATGATGGATCACACCGTTCTGGCTAATGGCCGCACACATTGTGATGTTGCCACCATGCTGCCCAGGGACATTGACGATGGAACGGTGTCCTATGATGTTCCTTCCCGTGCGCCTTGTTTTGGCAATGTAAAGGAACTCGTTCTCCACTGCAGCAACATCTAGCTCCATCACTCTCTGAAACAGGCAAGACAAAACATTACAGTATTGTATGAATAGACAAGAAGTAGTCAATATTGTGTTGCACACTACACTGGAATACAGTACCAATGAGGGGATAGCATAGCTTACTTGCACATATTCATAGCGCAGTTGTTTCACTCTGTCAGAGTTGCGCTGAAATGGTACCCTGTATAGCTGCTTCATGAGTAGGTGATGCCTTTTCAGGAGACAGCCCAGTGCAGATAAGCTCACCGAATGGACATTGCTGAACGTTATGTTGTCAGTAATGATGTGCTGTTGCAGTTGTCGTAGAAGTATGCTATTGTCAGCTCTGATCATGTTCACGATGTGCTCTTCCTGCTTTGGGGTGAACAGCCATCTTCTTCCTCCAGCAAGGGGTTGTCTAGTAATTCTGCAAAAACATGTGAATGGTTTTCCAGTAATAAATGAAATGTTACTACTGATATACAATGGTACTACTGTATACTACAGTAGTACAGTGGTTTACACAGTGCAGCTCTGTGAGTTCAGTAGCATAGAGGATAGGTCTACTTACCTATTCTCATTTCGAAATGTCCAAATGATGCTTGCTACTGTGTAGCGGCTCAGATTAGGCTAGACCCTCTGCCCAGCCTTCCTAAAAGACAACCCATGATTGACCACATGGTCGACCAAAGTGGCCCGTAATGGTGGCTCTTACTCATCCTCATCCTCATCCTCATCCTCGTCCTCGTCCTTGTCCCCCACACCCCCCATATAGCCCTCCATTGTTGTCCAAACCAAGTAGCCTATTTATAGTGCTTAAGCTCTGATTTCTAAGTCAACAAATTAGCCATAGGTGTTTTCACCTGTGAGGTCTGGGTTTGGGTAATTGGTAAATGGGTGTGGCATTTGAATGGCAGTGAACACAGGGATTTAAGTTTTAAATGATGTGTCTAATGTAGTGAACTGTGTTTAGTGGTTTGCAAAAAGTGTGTTTTAGAATTGCTAAATGAGTGTAAAGCAGAGAATGTGCTTATGGTTTAGCATACCAGGTCAACAGATAAGCTATATGAGTTTCAATAATTGTGCCACAAGTACCACTTTTTGTGTCTTAGCAATTGCAAAAAACTGTAATAAACGGAAGCTATATATTCAATATACAGAATCCAATATTAGAATACACAGTGACATATTATAGAATAAATATGCATATAGAGTATATTATACATACAAATTCATTCATTAAAATACTATTATTGCTCATCCGAGTCATCCGTGCAGAATCACGACTGAACTGTTGGCTGACGCTGTGCCGATACCTGGTAGGTACCTCAGTGACAGGTAGCGAGAGGTACACGTCACCTTTTCTAAGCCAAGCTCTCCACTTGAAGAGCGGGGCCGGTGTGACCTCACCTGCAACGCTCAAGGTAGAACTTGCACTGGACTGCTTTTTCACACACGGATGAATCAGCGGTCCAGATTCTTCAACCCTGGCTTTATTCAAGAACAGAACAACGCTAGCATGGGTCTCACAACCCAGACAAATATATTCATTTAATCAGTGTTACACACAGTGAATAGTTCTTACGAGTCCCTTTAGATGTGCAGTTGGGAATTCTCTAAAATGATTACAGGCTTTGCCGGTGCGGATACAAAACCCTCTTTAAAATTACTGCATGGAGACTGAGTAGCTAGAGAAGTTAATGTGTGACCACGCATTCTTGGCAACTGTTATGTTTTGCATGGGATTTTTTAAAATTTTGGAGCTAATGTAAACTGTAAACAGACTAACATGTTTATTGTTTTTTGTAACATTTCAGGGGGTGAGGGGTGGTTAGAGTTAACCCCATTCAAATGGTTCGTTGCACCTTTTCTTTACCTTCAAAGAATAGAATGAAAAGGTCACTTTACAAATGTACAGATAAAACAATCCAAATGGCAGCAGTGGGATTTGAACCCATGCCGCTAGAGAGCCTGGAGCCTAAAATCCAGCGCCTTAGACCACTTGGCCACACTACCAACATGGTGGGGGGGGGGACCCAAACGCTCACAAGCACAAATATGTCAATGCTCAGAGCACCACTTAGAAATGCAGCGTGTGTTTACAGCCTCCCGAGAGACCATGACAGTGCGTGCATTACTGCAACACGGCAAGGTGGGCAGGACTCAGGTGTCAGCTGGGGCATAAACACACTATACCTACATACCTACATGCACGTACTCTGTGTGGAATGGATTGTTTAAGAGATCACAGGACTTGATAAAGCAAGGGGAGAGAGAGTGCAAAAGACACTGGCACAGCATCGATGGGGAAGCCCTTCGCTGAAAAAACATAAAGAGATAACAGTATTTATGAAACATTTCACAGCATGCTTGCTTTTATGCATAAATATTAATATCTTTGACCCAGTTTGATCTTAAATGACTCATATGTTTACATTTAACTGCAAGCAATTATGATTTTTAAAAATATTTTAAATGCAACCTATTTCATTCAGAGATCAAAACTTAAATGGTTTTTCTAATTTTCTGGACCTCAGGGTCAAATGTCATTAAGGGTACTAAGCAAATATGAGTCTGCTGTGTCTGTAGCAACTTCTAGATGTACTTCCACAGAGAGGTAGCCAACTTTTTTGAAAAACCATGTGACATTTTCAACTAGTTTACACCCAAGCTCTCCAGCTGAACTGGGAGCTTTGAGAGAAATGGCTTTTGATATGTCACCAGCGATGAAAAATATCTAGAGTTTCCAGATATCCTAAGAAAGATTTGACTTTTTGAAGTCAGACCATAACTTTACCACTGTCGCTGAATTTGAGGATTCTATAAATAGGAGCTCTCCTGCATCAAAGTGTAACTTCTCATCTGGCTTACTTTAAGTGGATTTCATGTATTTCATTTTTAAAAAAGGAATGGCGTATTGCTCAGTACAGAACTGAGAACCTGAAATGCTTTTATCTGTGCATAGAGAGATGTTGAGTAGCAAATTGCAATGTACAAAAAAGTAGCCACACAATAATTTCCAACAAGGGACAGAAACAGCATTACGCTGTGGCAGACTGCTGATCTGCAGTGTGCTGCCTGGAGCCAAACCAAGCTGGCATAGTACTCTTTCCCTCCAACAGAGGGCGCTCAATGCTTTGCCTTTGGTTTACCTTTTTACCCATCACCACTTCCAACCAATAGCAAGACAGAACAAGTATAATACCATTGTCACATTGTTAGTATAGTAGGCAGACAGAAGAACTTTTTAAGAAAGGTTATCAGGTTAGTTAATCAGAAGTGTCTTCTAAGCTGCTACAGAGGTCTCTTTCAGTCACTGCAGTCATTATTCTTTTAGCCATCAGAGTAGCTTCTAATATTAATACTGCAATCAATGTCAGAGTTTCCACTGACTTTCCTAAAGTCCAGCTGCTACTCGTACAATTTAAAGGTCTTTCTCCCCCGCCAGTCCCTGCCGTGCCAGGACTCCTAATGTGCAAGACCTAATCACCAGTTAATCCTGGACCCCCAGGACCCATGTATACGTCTCTGGATACGCTCTACAAGACAATGCATACACCTTTATGTAGCCTTCTTTGAAACTATGCACATACTCATAATCCATACAAAATTTAAATAAAAAATGAACAATTTAAAGACAAGTACATGAATTGATTGACACCAGGAGATCCCCACATCCCTTAATTATTGGACTACAGGGTCCTAAACCAGCCTCTGGATAAGTTTTAAATTGCAGACAAAATGACCATGGACTACACAGAGCCCCTGTTTGGTAAGATTGTCCAAATACCAAACCTCAGCTGGGCAGGACTGGTAAACATTTGAAAAAGATTCCATGTGATATCAAGAGGATTCCTTTAAAATAACCCAACTAGCCCATGCAAGGCTGAGTGGATTTAACACTGCTAATAATGAATAAAACTGATCATAATAAACTCATGTAAGCAGTATCAGGTCACAAGGTTGCCATTGTATGCCACTGCAGTCTCTGCTTAAAATGCACAACTCGAAATTGTTCACCGGTGATTTGCCTCTCACGAGAATATGAAGTTTAACCTTATATCAAAGTAATTTTATGAAATGAAAGCTGTGAAGTCAGGCATCGGCTCTGTTAAGTTTCAGCAAATTCGAAATGTCAAATGTGATTTCACACATTGTTAAGTGCCATTCAAGGGGCTGCCAATATCCTTACAAAGAGAGAACAACTTTGTCTCTATGGAGAATATGGTTTAAAAGCACATTTCTGGATTAATCACTCACCCAGCACATTCAGGACAACAATAGAAATATACTGGCGTACTAGCTGGATCTTCGTTTTTAAAGTCCCTTGGGATTTCACCGCAACTGCCTATTTAAAAACTATAACCTTACCTGACCTGTGAATATCTCTCCTTTCCAAAATAAGCTGCTGGCAGCCTAATCTTACCACATCCTTCTTCATCCCCGATGTCAAAAGGTAAGTGTATCCAGGATTTCCTAGGTTACCAAGTTCACAATAGATCCGATCATGATGGAGGGACAGAGGGAAACCAGACCATGACATGTACAGTTCTTTTTGGTTGTTGCCATCTCAGTGAATCCAGCTGTGGGATAGACAACCAGCTGTCATCAAAAATGACTCATTATTCACCATTTTATTTGTTCTGCTTGACTCGTTGCCACAGTTTCACCACATTACTTCAATGAGATCTTAGAGGCCTGCCAGAGTCTAGACTGTACAATAAATCTGGGGGTGACACTGTGAGGCACAGTACCTCACTTTTGCATCACTGTTAAAAGATCAGAGAGAAATGACCTCATAACAACTCACAAAATGTTTTTTTAGGTTTCTCTTTTAGTTTAAAATATAAGACGTGTAATAATTCAAGTCTGCTCACCATCGGTACAGAGTACTTCAGATTTGTTGTGTTTCAATATATCATATATATATTTTTCTGGCTTTCAAGGACAGTTTCTATAGTTTGGAAGATGTTCAAGATTGAATCCAAAAATGTAAAAAAAAAAAAAAAGTTTTACATTCAAATTTTTAGATTTTTTGTTTTGTTTTGTGTGATTATAATTAACGTGAGTGCATATGGATAAATATATGGAAAAATTAATTCTCAATTTGACTAAATCATTCCATCACCTTGTGATGCTACTATTTCCTCAACAGCAGCATTGACCAAAGGTTTATGGTCATTTTTATCTTAACTTTCCTCCATAATCTGTTGCTAATTGTATTTTCCGATCTCCCATTCCTTCTGTCAATGAGACCCCAGTATGTATGTCAGTTATATGTGAGTACTGTCAGATTATCAGGAAAACAAGTAAGGTATAGTTCAATTTTTAATGCAGCCACTTAAAAAAATGTCAGAAATTGTAGATGGTGAAAATAATTCTTTAACAAGCACTGATTAGCAATGGAATGTATGATTCTGGTGAGGTGAAAGGAAAGTCTTTTAAGAATTGATGTGTTCCAGTGATGATCTGTCATCTAAAAATAGGAGGCAAAGACCTTAGCATTGAAGCTATCATTTCTTTAAACCCATTCTGTTTGTATTGCTCTAACAAACAAGGAATTAATTATGTGAATAATCCATACCAGTCAGCAGCTAATGCTAATATCTTCTCTTGCCAGAATGTTCTTTACGTCACAGAAAATGTTGGATATTTGCACTTATCCCTTGATTATTTGCATTACCATGTGCATAGATTTACTCTGTTCTCTTTGCTCATGACAAGAGCATGTTGGCACACACAAAGATTAATTAATCTACTCCACAGTTCTTGAAAATAAACTGACATTCTGAACTGAGTTTGTTAGCTTGCCTTTATTGCACTTTGCCACCAGAACTTGAATGGTATGCAGTTACAGGACAGTTTACCTATTTAAGTTGATTAATTGTAATGTAATGTAATGATTAAATGAATGAACTCTCTCTTGCCTAAATGCTACAGTGTGGCATGAAGAATGCTACCACTAGTCATAACTTTAAATTAAAAAAAAATCTGTCTCCTTTATTTCAAGCTAACAGGGTGCTGTGTCCTCAGTGGTAACATACCTTATCATCTCATAGCTACACCAAATGCCCCTCAGTCCACTTACAATTTAAAGTGTAAGTACTTGCTGGCTTGAAAATGGCAATGAAACCAAGGGCTTTGCTGTGTCCACATCATTTATGCACACTTATAACAGTGTTTTTTGCCATAAACACTCAGTTCTAGGTAGCAGCATAAGACGGCTGCAAAGAAATCACAGGTGAGGACAGCAGTGTTGCATAGCAGGACAAAAAGGTTGCTGGTACAATTCCCTGTTGGGGCACTGCTGCTGTACCCTTGGCCAAGGTACTTAACACAGAATTGCCTCAGTTATTATCCAACTAAATATCCAACTGTATAAATGGACAACATAAAAAAATTGTAACCTATGTAAGTTTCTCTGGATAAGAGTGTCTGCTAAGTGACAATATAATGTTATTCACATTCATATCGGTATTTATATATGCTTGTATGAGTGGTGTTACATTTGATAATCATCTACACTAATATACCTTTAGAATTGCTCCCTGTGTCTCCCAATCAGGGCCTGCTGTAGCACACACAGGGTCAGCACTTCAGCTGTATGCAGTAAACATAATTTCTGTACTGTTTTGTGGTGGTTTGCATTACAATGTGACTGAATAAGAATGCAGTGCAGTTACTGAAATTTTATGTGCATCTTTCCTTTCTGTAATTTTTCACATTAGCAGAGTAAAAATTGCCTACAGTTTACCCAATGGCCTGCATTCAACTTGCATTCAACTTTTGAATTTGTTTTAAAAAATAGGATCAAAATAGCAGTTGCCATCTGCTTAATTACATCCATTTTTAGAGGACAGTCACAATTCTCGCTTGTGAATATAACTGAAGTCTTATTCAGTTTTTTTGTAAAGCATCTTTTGAGACAATTTCTTATTTGAAAAAAAGCTTTGAAGGGAGCCAAAAAGTCATTAAAAACAACAAACATCAAATAAATCATACACATGACACAGTGC